AAGAGAGGGGACATTCAACTCTTAGGAGTTGAGGTTAAGAGGGGAGACTACCCATATACAACAAGCAACAGAGTGATCAGAGAGCCTATCTCATAGGATCACAAGTCCTACAACTGGAAACAGCGGCTCTTCATCATCAATTTCATCTCCTTTTTCACGGCGCTGGCTGTCTACTTTCGGCACAACATGTATTGTGAGGCTGGAGGTGAGGCCGGGCTAGGATCCATAGGTGGTCACAGTGGCTATGGGACAGTTGTGTTTTCTGTAATGTGCAATATGGTGGTGGTCTTGGGGGCTGGCTGCCATTGTGTTCCCTGTAGTGATGTAGTGGTGGTGATTTATCAAGATGGCCTGGGGCATGGGGAGTGTTGGGGCAGGAGGCTCACCATGCCCTTCCTTGTGTCCTCACGACAGTGTATACCATCTTTGCCATCCTGGAGTACACTGTTGTCCTAACCAACATGGCATTCCACATGACAGCTTGGTGGGACTTCGGGAACAAGGAGCTGCTAATTACCTCACAGCTTGAGGAAAAGCGATTCTAAACCCCTCTCCTGCTGGGGAGGAGCCCACTGCCCAGAAACTAGAAACAAGATCCCATGCTGGCCTTTCCTAACTACTGTGTCCTCTCTAGGCCCTACTGAAGCTGGGGGAAGGGGGAAAGAAAGGAGGAAGGGCACAGGACAAGGCTTTACCCAGCCCTGTGGCTTCTCCATTCCCCTATCCCACTTGAAGGCACAGAGGCCTTCAAGCAGCATCGCTCTTACCTGAGAGAACCCAAGAAACTGAGTTGGCAAGAAAGCTCCACCGTCTGGTGCTAAAAAAAGTCCTGAGGTTCATAACCACCATCCGGTTCTTGGCCTTAACAGCCACCTCTCATTGAGGTCAGGGACCACTGAGCAGTGGCTGCTACCTGAAAACCACAGCCATTCTTCCCCCCATGGGTCATTCACTTCTCTAATGTCTAATGATCTACTCTACACATCCAGACCTATGGCCATAGTTACACGCTAAGGTTACCCAGGTCTAGTCCTGACTACCTGATTTGGTGTGTCCATGTGGATGATAGGGATGGGCAGGCTATACGATTTCCAAGGGCTCTGTTAGTCTGTGCTTCTGACATCACCTTCTGGTTGGTGGTGGTCTGTACCAAAAGGATGACCTGCTCCAGGAAAAGCACTGGCACAGCATGTATTTCCCTTCCCTCCTGAAATCTCTGGCTTGTATTCTTCCTCCTTGGCAAAAATGTGAGGTGGAGGGGTCAGAGACACAGATTCCTACCCCCAAACTGGTGTCCCCACCAACCTCCCTATTGTCCTAGGCTCTAAGCTCATTTGGTTGTACATTTTATTTCAAAGGAAAATAAATTTTTTTTTTTTGGCCAACAGTCTGGGCTAGGCTTGTCTGTCTTGGGCTTGGGCTTGTCTGTCTTGGGCTTGTCTTTTTAATAGAATTGAGGTGAGAGACAGGTTCCAGGATGGAGGGAATAAGTCCATGGCAGGGTATAATTCCACGTGATATCCTCACGCCCCTTAAGCCTGGAATTCTCCAATGGCTGGTCTAAGCCCCAATTTTGGTAAGCATGAGTAACTGAGCTATCCCTATAATGACTCCAGGCCTGGAAGCTAGGATACTTGGGAGTCTTGGTGGAGGTAAAGGCCTGAGTTCCAGCCCCAACTGTCAGTAGAGATCTTTCCACTTGCAGATGTAAGGGGATACCTCTCAGATGCAGGACTGAGAGAACACCTGTCTACAGGCTGATGGCTCTCACCCTCTCCCTTTCTGAGCCCTAGATCAGCAAGTCCTTCTTCATACTTTGCATCACAGTCCACTACAGAATCTATGGCTGGGTCCCAGAGCAAGACTGGTCCCTCCAAGAGAGCCCAGAGCTTTGTTAGGGAAATTGGGGGGTGGGGGGACCACAATGAAGCCTATTGTCTCCTGTCCCCTCTTGCAGGAAACAAAAGGCTCCCAGTCTCTGGGGAGCCCTAGCCCATGCCCGTCCCCTGCCCAACCCCCAATGCCTAGCACACAGGGAGGAGCCGGGGCCACTGGAGACAGGAGGTTTTATTGATGCTGATGGGGGTAGGAGCCCGGGGGGTGGGGTGAGGGGCTGAGTCAGTCTGCAATGCATAAGGCCTGGGCACATGGGGGCAAGTTAGGGCACATTCATCTTCTCAGGATTCTATGGCTCCCTCTTTGGGGAAGGGAGAGAGCATTTTGAGGGGAGAGCAATTCAAAGAGCAGCAAGGGAGAGGTTAGGGACAGTGCAGGTTCCTAACCTGAGAGAAGGCACCACAATAGGCAGCAACATGAGTGGAAAGCTGAACCAATGGGTCAGTAGGGGAAAATGGGAAGGGTGCACTGGGTTGGCTTCTCGGGGAGGGATCCAACCTTGGCCTGGGTGAGCTCTCAAGAACACCTGGTTTTCCCAAGCAGACTGGGGCAGGGCCCAAAGCCCTTTTCCCTGTGGGCTTCCTTAAGGAGAAATAGGCATTCAGGGAGCCCCCTGGCAAGGGGTGCCAGAATTAGTCCTTAAGGCACGGCTGGGGGCAGACAAGGCGCCAAGGCACAATTGGTGGGGGGAAGGGGCAGCCTCCAAGCTGAGTGCCAGGGTCACAAGAGGACACAGGACCGCCCACGCTTGATCGGTGTGGGGTTGAGCACAGCTCGGACAGCCTCAGCAAACACTTCCTTGACGCCGTCCTGCTGCAGGGCCGAGCACTCGAGGTAGCGCACAGCATGGATCTGCTTGGCCAGTGCCTGGCCCTGCTGCGGTGTGATGGGTGCCTGGCCCTGCTCCTTGAGGCGCCGTAGGGTGTCAGGTTGGGCTCTCAGGTCCTTCTTGGTGCCCACCAGGAGGATGGGTACATCAGGGCAGTGATGGCACACCTCTGGATGCCACTTATGCCGCACATTCTCATAGGAAGGCGGACTGGCAATGGAGAAACAGATGACAAAGACGTTGGTCTGAGGATAGGAGAGTGTGCGGAGGCGGTCGTACTCCTCCTGGCCCGCTGTGTCCCACAGGTTCAGGTTCACTGTGCGCCCATCAACTGCACTCTGGGCGCTGTAATTGTCGAACACTGTGGGGATGTATTCCTTGGGGAAGGCATTAGTTGTGTAGCAGATGAGCAGGCACGTCTTGCCCACAGCCCCATCACCCACCACCACACACTTGATGCTCTGCATCGTGGGTACAGCTGCTGCAGTGGAGGCAATGCCTCCTTCCCCTTCTGGGCCCCTCTGGATGCAGTGACCTATGAACAGATGAGAGGGACACTCTTGGTCAGGGAGGCTTCTAACCATTGGGAAGGTTGGGGGCATACAGAGGGAAACCAGCTCCTGTTCTCTTAACCTGATACCATCCTGCAATCCCATCAAGACAGACCCCAGAAAGACAGACACACAATGAGAGAAAGGCCCTGAGACCCAGCAAAGATGCTCAGGTGTAAGGAGGCTGGCACTATAATGTGTAATATATTACATGAAGCACATAAATTCTGGTGCAGACTGACTAAGGTCAAATCCTAGTTCTATTTCTTAGCTGTGTGACCCGGGATAAATTACTTAACCTATTAGTGATTAGTGGGCCTTAGTTTTCTTATTTGTAAAATAAGGATAAAATAATACCTACCTCATTGGGTTGTTATGAAAATTATATATTACATGTGAAGCATTTAGAATGGCTGGTCATAATAAGCATTCGGTATTAGCTACTTTTATTTTTCCTCCAGGCAGTACAGATGCAAGAGAGGTACACAAGTGTAGGGATCTACCAGATCCTCTACCAGTTATGGACCCCTCCTACAAGTAGAGTGGAGAGGGGTTCTGGCACAGGGTGCTATCCTAGGTCACTCTGAGATGCTGTCATGGGTAGAACCTCTCCCAACTCAGGACTTGCCCTGCCCAGTGCACTGATGCTTTAGCTCCAAACCTGACATTTTGGCTACTGAGTACAAACCAAAAAGCACAATAAGAAACCTGCTGAGTAAGGAGCACAATTCTCTAGACAGCTGCTCTATCTCAATCCAGGGTATCCTGGGGACAGGAAAAAGGAGGGAGAACTTACCCCATCATTTCCATAAGCACAGTAAACCCAATCTGGCCACACATACCCAGGCTGGCAACTCGGTGCAGAGGAATATGGGAAGATCAGCCAGAGCTGAGATCTGGTATGGAATGTGGGTATGTACTAATGAATGAAGCAGGGGTTGTGGCTCTCAGACATTAACATCTTCTCTAACGACCCTTGGTAGGATGAGGTATATCCTCCAAGCCCAGCCAAGAATAGAAGAGTAAAACAAAAACTTGATTTTCTCCTTAATCTTCTGTACTTTTTTCGAGATCATAGCACATGCCTCTGAAGAACTGCGGGGGCTTCCAGACTCTTGGATAGAGAACACAGTGCCATTAAAGCTCTATCACTGAGAACATATGCTGGAGTCAAATTGGCCAGGGATTCTGATCACAGCTCTACCAACTAGTTATGATCTTGGGCAACATATCTAAATTTTCTGGGCCTCAATTTCTCATTTATAAAATGGGGAAATTTTGCCTATTGTGTTAGAATTGCTTAGAGTATGAAATGAGCTAATGTGTAGAAAGTGTTTGGCCTGAGTTGTGGCACTTACGAAGTACCAAATAAATAGGCTGCTGTAATTATTAATGGGGCGAGTATGAGAGGAGTCCCAGCTCCAGCCATTACCCTTGTCCCCTTTGCAGCTCACAGGGCCTTGGTGAGGAACTGCTCTTGAGTTCTGGAACAGAACAGAGCTTCCGGAAACCCTGTGATTATTTATACTGCTGTAGCAAAGGTTCTCCTCTCATTGGCTACTTCCTCTTGGCCATGGGGGACTTTTGCTGGCCAGTACGTGACTTCCTTTCCTTGACTCTCTCTCACAACCAGGCCCCTGCTCCCTGGGGAGGGAAAGCCTGTTTTTGACACACCCAGATCTCCAAGTATCTCTTGTTCCACCCAAGCACCATCACCATGGGTCCATTTCACTTTATATACATTGTGAGACTGCACCCTTACCCCTCAGCCTGACCTCTCAACCATTTGTTCAAGTCTCAAAAATCAAATTGGGGGTGGGGGGAAAGGCAAGAAATCCTTCACTGGGAAGTGAAAAGGAACTCTGGTGGTGTGGGACCTGCAAAGGACCCAGGGCTTGGTCCCAGCTTCCTCCCAGGCCCCAGCTGGGAGGGAAATGGTTCCACTCCATAAGGTTGCCTCTGGTTTGCATTAAAAATATTTCCATCTTATTTGCCTGAATAAGTGTATATGTTCAACCTCCAAAGACAGGAAGGAGAGTCTCAGGGAATGGGTCTGGGAAGGAGATAAGGACCCTTTAGGGCAGCAGTCTTCAACCTTTTTGGTACCAGGGACCAGTGCTCCTATGAGAATCTAATGCCTGATGATCTGAGGTGGAGCTGAGGCGGTGATGCTAGCGCTGGGGAGTGGCTGCAAATACAGATGAAGCTTCGCTTGCTTGCCTGCCACTGACCTCCTGCTGTGTTGTGTGGCCCAGTTCCTAAAAGGCCAGACTGGTATTGGTCTGCGGCCCAAGGGTTGGGGACCCCTGCTCTAGGGCAGTGGAGAGAACCTCAGGCTGGATGTCAAGAGACCCAGCTCTGCTCTGCTGCTGACTCACTGCATCCAAGCATGAGACACTTATTCTCCCTTGGCCTCAGTTTCCCAGTCCATAAAATGGAGAGAAAAATACCTGGACAAGGGCACTAGGTGGATAAAGTGAGACATGAAGAGCCCTGGGAGCAGGGGATAGGATCATGGGGATAGGAAAGGCCCCCAGGAGCAGAGGGTGTGGGGGTCAAGTTAGTCAGCAAATGTGCAAAGGCCTGAGCACATGGTGGCAAGTTAAGATACATTCTTCTAGGACTCTGTGGCCGCTTCCTTGGGAAAGGAGAGAGCATGTTGTAGGGGTTGGTGCTGTTACTTGTACCCCCTGGGTTCCCTGGGAGACCCTGGCATTTTGAGAGAACTCCTGAACTTGTAACTCTTTAGTTCCACGCAGAGCAGGGGTGTGGGGGATGGATGTGTGGGTATGTCTGGCCCAGGCAGGAAGGCAAGGAGAGAACTCTGGCCAGCAGTCACAAGGCCCAAGAGAGTGGATATGCAGTGGCTCCAGGCTGCTCTCTAGGGAGGTGGTTATCAACCAGTGATCAGTAAATCAGCCCTCAAAGGATTAGGGAGGGAGAAAGCAGCTTCCAGCTTCTGGGCTGGCAAGGGAACAGGACTGACACCGGAAAAGGGTCATGAGTGAGGTAGTATCCAGAAACAAGCAGAGCAGAGGCAGTGTGGTACAGGGCCAAGATAAGTAGATACCTGAATGTGACCTCATGGGTTCACCTGCTGACTCTGCCCCTTGATAAAAAACCCTCAGAAGGTACAACCCTTTATAGATCATGTAGTATAATTCTTTGATCCTTACAACAACCTATTGGTACTATCCTTATACAGATGAGGAAATAAACTCAGAGTTAAAGTAACCCGGAGTCACACAGCTAGTTAGCATGCAAGCCAGGACACAAACCCGTTTCCCATCCAAAGTCTTGTGTTTTCCTCAATGCATCACACAGCCTCCATGTTACGTCTTATCAGCCAACTTTGTGACCTTGAACAAGTAAGTAACTTTTCTTCTCAGAGCCTTAGTTTCTTCATCTGAACAACAAGAGTGACAATAGTTGCTCTCCCTGCCTCAAAGGGCAGCAGCAATGATCCTGAGCATGGGAATGAATGTGCTTTGTGAACTGGCAAGTGTTATGCACACAGGAGGTAACAGGAGCAAAGCCTTTCATCCCAAGAGGCATGAAGCACTGAGTATGCAGGTGTCTGAGTGGCAGCATCAGCCTAGACCTTCATCCTCTCTCCCAGGACAACCCTTTTCTCAGAAATCCTATGGCTTGAACTGGGTCAGATAAGTTCCCACAGCTCATTTAAGGAAGGCACATGCTAAAAGGTAGTGTCTAACCTATGCCACATAGGAAAAAAGGAGTCAGTGCTGCAGAAAGCCAAACAAGGAGAGCGGACTGCCTGAGATTAGGGGTCAACTGTGATTTATTCACTAGATGACTTTTTTAAAAAAAAGAACTTTTGTTTAGTAAGTAAATTATTGGTTGCAGATCTGTATAGTATTGACCAAATTATAATGACCTGTTCTGACTTTTTATTCCCAACCTAATTCAGATCATGCCTGGTCCCTCATCTTGACCTTCAGAGTTCTTCATACTCTGGTTGGGATTTTGGAGTCAGACCTGGGTTTAAATCCTAGTTCTTTCACTTATGAGTTAAGTACTGATACCAACCTTATAAGGTACTATAAGGTTTAAGTGTATTGATATGCAACCTATGTGCACAATGTAGGTACTTTGCAAATGTGAGTTCCAGTTCCCTGCTCCTGAGGGGTCTTCAGAAAGCAGAAAGATTCTTGCCTATGAACTTTGACTCGTGTTCTGTCTGTTGCCATTCCCTCTCCCCTCTCAAATCTTCCTGACTCCTCAAGGCCTAGCTTAAGTCTCACAGTCCTATGAGGCTACTGAATTCTACTTTCTCTGAACTTCCATAGCACGGCCCCCACTTTCACCCTTCTTTGGCTCTGTGTGATTCTCCTTCCCCAATAGCCATGGATAAGTTTTCTGGCGTGTGGATGTCCCCCATACTGGAGCTTGTGCTTCCCTTAACACTCCTAGAAAAGCTGAGTACAGGGTTGAGTACACAGGAGTGTGTAACTACTGACTTCTGATCTGCTGGCTTCTGGCCCATTTCTGAGATCTAGACAGTTGCCTTAGAAGCCCAGAATTGGATTAATACTCCCACAGCCAACACTGCAATATTGAATCTTTTTGGACAGCAATGGCAGCCCAGAACTTTGACTTGGATAGGCAAAGATCTTCCTAGTACCAGCTTGACCTGGCTCTAGCAGGGAGCACAGCCCATGGGGCCTAACTCTGAGTGTGGGCTCTGATGTCCCACTTGTACCCAGTGGGGCCTGGTCTTGGGGTGTGGCCCAGGCAGGCCCAGAAGTGGGGAGGGAAAGGAAGCAGAGGACTGCTTGATTGCCAGATCTCTGTGGCCGTTAGAGCAGGGGAAGTGTCCCAATTGGGAGTGGGGGAGGGGAGGGATGGGCCCTATGAGATGGAGGAGTGTGGAGACAATGAGAACCAACTTAACCACGGCCTTCTAAACTGCCTCCTGACATGGAGCTCCACTTCTACAGCCCTTCCTGAAATTCAGTCTAACTATAATCCATATCTGGGCATTCTGATCCTGAGCTCTGGCCACACTACCCTGGATCTTCTACAAGATGACTCCACATTCTCTTCCCCCAAACACACCAAGCAGCATGTAATACTCGCTGTTCCCATGGGAACCCAGCATTTCTCTCCCCCCGCCCCATCCTCCAGCTCCCACGGGGCAACTCAGAAGGCTCCAACTGCCTCCAGGCCAAGCACCAATGCCATCTCCTCCAGGAAAGTATTAGTAAATCACCCAAGTCACAAATGACATTCCATCCAAACTCTGGTCCCTGTTTCTCTTACAGACACATCGTATCTTGCCTCACATGGAGGCTGTTCTGAATCTTATCTCTTGTCACTAGACTGGGAGGGTCTAGAGGGCAAGGTCCTGGCTGATCTGTCTCCCTCAGTTGAGCACAGTAAATAACTGAACTCTGTCCTTCATGTCTTTGCACATGGGAGTTTCTCTTCCTGGAATTCTGCTCACCCCCTTCAGATCCTCCCAGTCTTTCAGGCCCCAGTTCTGTTCCCAGCTTCTCCAGGACATCACAGCAATCCCTTCTCCTGCCCTACGTTCCCCAGCACTGTCTGTACTGTTCATTGTGCTGAACTAACTGGATGCCTCATGAGGAGGGAAGGCTGTCTTGCTTACTTCTAGAAGCCCAGCTGCAGACTGACATATATCTCTTCCCCATCAATCCAGACTTTGATTCTGGAAACAAGGAAGAGCCTCTATGCCTAGGAGAAGCACAATTTAAGGTAATGAACACACACAGGCTAGATTGCCCAGTCCTCCACTAGAAGCGTGAGAGGGCTGAAGCCTGCATAGCTAGCCCAGAGATGCTGAAGAAGATGGGTAGGAAAAGTGGTCCTGATAAGGCTAAGGACTGGGACTATCTGAAGATCTTTTGGTCAAGGATGAGGTGAGGATCAGGGTCAGAGTTAAAAATGGCTCTGCAAGTCTATTTGTTTATTTGGAGGGGTAGAGGAGAGGTGACATGAAGAGGCTAAAAGGGGCTGCAGCTGGCTGCAGCTGGGCTGGGAGGAGGAAGCTGGGGGAGACATGAGATCATTGTGGGGCTGGGACCAGGCCAAGGGCTGAGTTTCTCTCTTTCTTCCCCTTCTCCCCATCGGCAGGGACACAACCCAAAGAGAGCCCAGACTCAGCCTTAAAAAAAAAAATCCATGCTGGACAACTCCCCACCTCTTGCCACTCTCTACCCTTCAGCCTCTGCAGAGGATCCTTCTCTGCAACAGGTAGAATAGCCAAAAAGTTGACTCTACTAAGGGCTGGAGAGGAAGAGGAAACAATACAGGTGTGGCTGGGAAAGCAGTGGAGGGATGGGACCCTTTCACTAAGTTGCAATTCCCATCTTGGTACCTGGGGTGCTCCACAAAGGGTGAACCCCAGGGCCAGCAGCTTGGGCCAAACCTCTGGCTTGGGGAGCTAAGGAGACTGCCTCCTCCCCCACAAGGCAGCACAGAGGAAGGCTGAACACTTGCTTCCTCCTCCCTTCCCCCTAGCAGATCAGCAGTCCCGGGGCCCCAAGAAAGGCCTGTGAAGTGGCACTTCCTTTGCCTTTGCTCATTTCACACGAGGCTGTACAGAAGTGCCATCCTCCCAATCCTGCCTCCCCCACTTGAAAATACCCACAAAGAGACCCAGGGCCGCCCTGTCCCTTTTGACCCACCCCAGGCCTGAGGGGGTTTCCACAAGGGAAAAAAACATCAGGGAGGAAACTCCGGCATCTATTTTCCACTGTCAGTGGGGCAGAGCTGGAGCAGGGTACAGGGGACTCCTCCATCTTGCTGTCCCCTGGCAAAATCCCCACCACTCTCTGTCCTCTTCTCATCTCTCAACCAGTAACAATCCTTGGGCTTTGGAGAAAGGAGCCACAGTTCCTGTCCCTGGACAGATATTTAGAGAATACTCAGGCCTGTCAGATCAAGACTGGCATGAAACAGGAGGATCAAGAGTGGAGGCCACTGATATGAGGAGTCTCTTGGGGGAAGGAGAGCAGAGATTATCAGTATTCTCTGCTCTATGGAGGTACTGATAGGCAACTCCTTTATGGTGAAGCTGAGCCACTAAAGACAGTTGACCATAGTTATCCAGAGATTTAGGAGCAAATCCAGGACAAGGACCTGGGTCTCCTAACCTTCAGCCTGATGTCACTTCCACAAGAGAGAAAGTGAGAATTGCTACTCAGGCCTGCAAATGGGCCCACCATCTCTCTGACCTTATTCAAGATAATCCCAGCATGGTGTATCCCTTCAGGAAATGGGTCAAAGGGGTCAGGTAGACATCTGAGCCCTTTTTGCTTTTAAGTTTTCAGGCTCTCATGCCTAGCCCATCCTGGAGCATCCATGATTTAGAACTGACATTACTGGACAGACTGCCAAACTGGCCTTGTTCTAGCTAAGGGGCTACTCCTTTAGCCTCTAGCTCCTGAGGAGATGCCCTCCCCCTATGATCTGAGGACAAAAGAGGAAGCTGGACCCTGGACAGGAAAATCAATCTGTTCTGAGGAGAAGGCCCAGGCTTTGTCTTTGATTTCCCTTCTCACAGACCCCTACAAGCCTTATCACTGATGGCTATACACTGTGTATGGAAGGAGGGGTCTTCGGTCTGGGCCCTGACCCTCATCTTCTTCTCAGTTGCCCATCTATCCCCATTCAAATATGTTCCCAACTGTCTCACTATAGCCACAACCTCTCATGTCTTCCCGCTCATGATCCCCTAAAAGCTCACACCAGCCACCTCATTTGCTCTAACATCTTGCCAGAAACAACTCCCCAGATCCGAGATTCCCAACCAGGATTTGTAACAATCTCGGATTAGCCACTTCTTTTCATGTCAGGACCTTGACTTTATTTCACCTAACTGGTAGGCTCCTGGGTTGCAGGCACCTCCCCCTCTCCTATGATATTTTCCCATTTAGATCCCTCTCACTCTGGTCATATTTTTTCCAGTAATGACTTTCTTGTAATTAGCTCAAAACTCCAGTGGGACCAGATCTTGCCTGGGAGAACCCCTGTCTCATCCATCCTATCTTCACCCTCAAAGACCTGTGGGTTGCTCAGACATGCAGAATCCTAATATAAGTACTGGGTTGGCAGGTGGGGAGTCAGACTTCTGGGTGGTTTTCTACTGAGCTGTGATGCTGGGAAAGTGCCTTTCATGTACATAATTCCCTGAGCAGAAATGTTATACAGGTCCATGAGATTTCTTCCTGGGGCCAAACCTCCTATACCTTCCAGAGATGAAAGAAGGAGAGACTGGCTGGTGGAAGAAGGGACAATTCATGGGAGAGAGAAACTGTGAGAATGGAAGAAGACAGAATGGGGAACAGGAATAGCCCTTTCATCTAGCTGTGCTTGGGAATCCCAAGAGTAGCACTTGCTCCCTCCACTTCTCTTTTTCTAGTGGAGAGAAATGAATAGAGTAGAATGGAAGAGGCGGAGAGAAGCAAGATGTCACAACATACATCCCCAAGGCTTGAGGAAAGAGCTTTAGAATGCGGACAACAACAGCTTACAGAGCCAGTCTGGACTAAAGTTAGACTCAGGAGAAATTCCTAAAAGAGAGAGAGTAGGGTCCTAGGTGAGGGAGAATACAAGGATGCCTGAAGGTAGAGAGGTCAGCAGACTGCAGAGGGCTTCCTGTCACCAATGCCCTGATCTAGCCCAGGGTATACAGGTACCTAGCCTGGGCAGGCCCCGGAAGGCAGCAAGCAGAGAAGAGGGGGCAGATACTTTTCCTCATACCTCTCTTCTTTTCCTGAATTGGCATTAAAACAGTTAAGACTGAAGTTAGATTAGCCGTGGCCTTCCCTCCAGAATCCTGCCTCTGCCTCCTCCCTTTTCTTCTGTCACACTTAGCTCACCTGGTCCCATTCTCCCCACCAGGCGGTGTTGGAACCAGTAAGCACTGGAGTCAGGGACCTTCAGGCTGTCCCCCAGCCTCCAGGGAGTCAAACCTCCTATACCTACCAGAAATGAGAGTAGGAGAGATTGGTGGGTGGGCCTCTTGATCAAGTACAAAAGAGGCTGGGTGATTTTGATTTCCCACGGCCTCTCTCACCAGTCTTATTCTGTGTCACTCTACTCTGACCGCTACAGACTGCTTCCTCCTACCTAACCACAACCTCACCCACTGCAGGTTCCCTTCATTCTGCTGGCTTCCCCTGCTCTGGGCCTGCTCAAGGCTGAGGGCCGTTATTTTGTCTCCAAAAGATAAAAATGTAGACAGACACTTGCACACGCATACACATATAGAGAGGTTTTCCAGCTCTTTTAATCATCTCTGTTACTGGGAGGTTGCAGCCTGCCTCTCTGAGCTGGTGAGGTTTGAAAAGGCTCTCAAACTCACCAAAGATCCTGACCCCAAAGCTGGAGATAAGTGGATGAAAAGAAAGGAGACAGAGAGAGGGACAGAAAGAATGAGAGGAGATAGAAGAAACAGGAAGGTAGTGGGAGCCAAAAACTGGGCAAGGAAGGGAGGGTAGGCTGCAGAGGACAGAGATGGACAGAAGGGCAGGGTAAGTGAGAGGTCAGGCCTTGGCATGACTGTGTGGGGGAAAAGAAACTGAAGAAAATTCGAGAAGAGGGTGATGGAGGGTTTGTGGGTAGAGTCTGAAGAAGGAATGGAGGAAGTCAGAGTGAGAATGTACAGAATTCAGGGACTGACAATGAGAGGTGAGGTTGGGTGGGGAGGAAGACTAAGAGATGGTGCCCGGTCATTTCAGAAGGCCAGAGCCCCTGCTGCCTCCCAGAGCCCTATTATTTTCTCCATCTCCTTAAAATAATGCTGCTCTCAGTGATGCCATCTTGTCAGGGGCTGTAAGTACCTCTGAATGAGAATCCTTCCACTTCTAGTCACAGGACAAGACCAGGCCCTTTCCTTCCTCAGTTTACCCCCAAAAGAACAAGGCTGGGCAGCCTGTCAGCCAGGCACAGCGGATGTTTGCCCTCTGGATCCAGAGATGGAGAGGTCCGGCCTCAGAAAAAAGGACATACCGAGAGGATTGGGGTCAGCAGAGCTCCCCATGTCCTCCTCCTGAGTGCAGAACACCCTCCCTGGACTGCAGCCCGCGAGCGGGTTCTGGGTTGGCACGGATCTTTTAGGCAGGGAGCTTTCTCGGCAGTCTTTTGCTTCAGAGGCCAGACACCGCCCCCCTTTCAATCTCACTAGTGTCACAACTGCCGGAGCAGTGAGAGCGCCATCACCAGCCCAGGGGGCCCCCTCCCCTCACACGCTTCGGAACAGCCCCCCAGCTACCTGAGGACACGCCACCTCTAAGTCCCACATTCCAGCTCTAGGTTCTTCCACTTTTAGAGACTTTTCTCTCGGAGCGGGAGACCTCCGATCTCAGGGGTCCCGGTCGGCTCCCGGGAGCTGGTACAGCCGTCCACGGTACAGGAATCCACCCTCCCCGAGCGGCCGCCGGCTCCCAGTCGCCCGGTCCCCGCCCCGCCCGGC